ACACTGACCTGGGTATTGGATTAGAAGCAATAGAAGAAAGATAGGCATAATATGAAGGAGAAAGCAAACTATAAGAAAGGTGTTTGGAAATGCAATGTGCAATACACTTCCTCTTACCTTTCCTAATAGCAATTGGGACATCAAGATCTGGGAAGGGGGCTCCAAAGTGACTGTATCAGTACTTGTTATCTCTTCTGTAACTGGAAGTGTAGGAGGCTCTTGTGATGTAGAGGAAACAATCTATCTACTTCTAGTTCTTTAACGCTGGTACAACCTAGGATTAAAGAGAGGGCGAGGAGGTAACGAAGGAGGGATAGGAATATTGGAAGGAGCATGAGATGACTGTTCCTCTATTGATTCATTGGAAATAGAAGGAGGCTCAAAAGAAGACTCAACTGGAACAAGAAGGGGGATAGCAAACAACTGTGACAAATTCTCCCCCTTTGAACAATGCTTCTCCAGAGAAGGATCATAGAAAGGAGAGGACTCATCAAATGTGACATCCATTGAAACATACTAAGTTCCAGATTTTGAATCAAAACAACAATAACCCTTCTATGTGGAGGCATAACCAAGGAATATGCACTTGTGGGCCTTTGGTTCAAATTTATGTCTCTAGTACTTGGAATGTGTACATAACAAGTACAACCAAGACACGAATTGGAATTGGAAAAAGGCCCTTACCCGGATGAAGGAGGCTAAGAGGAGACTTAAAACCCAACACTCTGGATGGCATATGGTTAATTAGGTAGGTTGCAGTGAGAACAACATCCCCCAAAATCTTGTAGGGACATGTGAGGCAAACAGGATACTCCTTGCAACTTCAACAATGTGTTTGTTTTTTCTCTCAGCAACTTCATTATGTTTTGGAGTTCTAACGCAGGAACTCTGGTGAATAACCCCTAAATCAGTGAGATAACAGGTTAGGTTCTTCTCAAAGTATTCTTTTGCATTGTCGGATTTGAAAATTTTGATTCTAATATCAAATTGGGTAAGAACAAATTCATGGAATTGCCTCACAAGTCTAGGAACTTCATTACGGGATTTCATAAAAAATAGACATGTATATTGTGAAAAATCATCAATAAACAAGATAAAATATTTATAGCCATCCATAGAGGGTAAGTGGTATGGCCCCCACACATCAGAGTGCACAATATGAAATGGAGAAGATGATCTTTTATTACTCAAAGGATAACTGCTTCTACAATGTTTTGACAACTCACATGACTCACAATGAAGACTGGACAAACTAATTCCCTTAAATAGTTATGGGAATAAATGACTCAATGCAGAAAAAGAAAGATGACCCAAACGAAAATGACATAACACGACCCGACTGACAAACTCTGAAGATATAAATCTAAAGGCAGCTTTCCCAGGTTTTCCTTGGCTTTGTCCAGGAGTATCCAACAGATATAATCCATTCGCCTCATGGCCACTCCCAATCACTTTCTGAGAGTCCAGATCCTAAACAGTAGGAAAGAAAAAAGGTTACACAATAGTTCAAAGACTTAGTTAGTCTACTTACGTATAACAAGTTTGTATTTAGTTTGGGCACATGAAGAGCAAAAGGAAGTTGCAGAGAGTCTGTAGCTTGATTGCTCCCTTGCCAGATATAGGAGCAAGAGAGCCATCGTCTAGGGTGATTCTATCACAGCCAGGAAGCAAATCATAAGAAATAAACAAGGTGGAAAGGCTGGTCATATGATCAGAAGCACCGGAATCAATAATCCAAGGGATCCTACGATTACCTGAGATAGTTGCATGATTGGTAGAAGCCCGTATACCTGAATGAGCAAATGCAGAACAAGTTGAATTTTCCGGAGTGTTGGAAGAAGAGGTTGCACTCTCTTAGTGACTGATCATCCTTCCATACTTCTCATATTCTGCCTTCATAATTGCTAACTGTTCACTAGCAGTCCTCTATTCAGTTAAGCATCTATCATTATCTGGGCCAGTAGCAATATTGGCACTTCCTATCTTCACATTATCAGTCTTTTTTGGAAACAAGGAGGAAGAAGCTTTGGATGTAGTTTCCAACACTTCTTTTGTATGCTTCGGTTTCTTACAGTACTCACAAACAACTTCCTTCTTTCCTGAACCACCTGAACTTCTTGTAGTTCCCTTCGGTTTCAGCCCCATATTAGCAAAATGGTCATTGAAACCAGCCTCTTGAACTTGGACTAGTCTCCTGCTTTCTTGACTACTCACCAAGGCATAGGCCTGAGACAATGAAACACTATCCTTGGCTAAGATATTCTGTTTTGTGATGTCAAACTCGGGATTCAACCTTGTCAAGAATTCAAAAACTCCGTTTCTCTTTACTAATTTTCTGTACGTTTCAACATCATTAGTACTTTCCCAGATAACAGTTTCCATCAAGTCAATTTCCTGCCAAAGGGATTTCAGCATTATGAAGAAAATAGCTAAAGGTCTCTCCCCCTGCCTTAAATTATTCACATCACTTCTCAGCTTATTTGGCCCTGGCCACATTCAGTTTCTGAGAATAAGTTTCAGCAACACTATCCCATATTTCCTTTGCTGAATTCATCCATAAATAGTGTTGACTGATTTGGGGTTGCATCAAATTTACTAACCATCCAATGACAGTATAATTTTCTTGCATCCATTTTTCATAAGATGGATCATCTTCTGCATGAGCTTTCTTGCTCCCCGAGATATACCCCCACTTGCCTCTGCTGCAAACATGAATCTTTACTAATTGTGACCATGCCAGATAATTGGTTCCATCTAGCTTGATTGTTGTCACAGCCAGTAGAGAGTCTACAAGAGCCCCCAGAACCTGTTCGGATTCGGCAACATGCTTGTTTTCAACTCCCAAGGTATCCATCTTCTTAAAAACACTCCAAAAGGACTTCTAACAACTTCAATTAACAATCAAGGAAGGCAGGAAAAAATAGAAGCTGAGAACCAACCTCTATGTAGTTGTACCTATTAACTACGTCACACCCGGAACCCGGGAGAAACAGAAAAAATCCAGCCGCTCGTTGTAGACTTCACAGAACACTAAGATGCTTGTATCGATCTTCAAGATGAAGAATAAGGAGCCTTTTAATCATTGAGCGCCAAGGTCAAACTCCCTGTGGGGCCCGCAAGTAGAATTCTCCAGTTAATTAGGGTTTTGGGCAAAACACCAGAGACTGTCGGAAAGATGACAAAGACAGCCTTCTTCTCTCCAAAAGTCCACTAACAACTGGTCTGAAGAAAAAATTTTAACTACTCATTCGATTCAGTTCTCCATACAGTGTATGGGAAGAAAGAGAAGGAAAAAAGAGAAAAGGAGAGCCTGCTCTGATACCAAGAAGAAAAACAACCTTCTGAAATAAATGGACTGATTAAAATAGTGCAGAAAAGTGATAGAGAACAGCAGAAAAGAGAAGCAAGAAGAGAGAGAGAGGAAGAAGAAGGTGGCGGCAAATAGGGTTCAGAGGAAGATTTCGAATGTAATCCTCTCTTACACCCTAATTCCTTTTCATTAAACTTAATTTTCAGTAATTACAGAGAGGCCCTTAACTGGGCGAATAATCTCAAGTAAACATAACATAAGTAAGGCCCATTAACAGCATAGAATATAAACAAAAAGATAAAAAAAGTCTATGGGCCATTCGGCCCATTCTCTCTACAGTTTCTTACTCATTAAACGAAGTTCCTTCCTAGAAAGGTCCAATAACCTATGGTAGTTTGCCCATCATCAATAGATCTTGCCCAATCAACAGCCATGCACCCCTCTACTTTGATGTGGCTTTGTTTGGAGAAAAGGAATCCTCTCCCAAGGTGCTTCTTCAGGTATCTAAGTACACATTCTGCTACAGCAAGATGTGAAGTCCTAGGAGAGTACATATGCTTAGGACTGCAACGGAATATGCAATATCAAGCCATAGTAACCTTTCAATAAGCCATTGGAAATGCTTAGCATCAGGTAATTCAACACTACATTGTGACTAATGTGACAGGAAACGGCAAGAATAATATCAGCCCAAAAACGTTTTACAAAAGGAAGATTCCACTTGAAGTTGATATGCATGAACAAAATGCCTCTATTCATCATATATTGACCTTGTTTGATCCCATATTTCCATGGCCATTTCATCCTGCATGAAGTTCTTTCAAAGTGCAGGTTGCATTGAATACAGCAGCCATGACATGATCATGCATTTTTCTTTCTGCCTTCTTTTATGAACTGCACCTTCCTCTTGGGGTTCCTTAATCTTTATAGTGAGGTACCCAGTAACCCAAATTTCCCATTTAACAAACAACTTCACACCTTTAGACTGCTCCAAATAATTTAAACCATCAAGTGGAGACTTGGAGCAATATATAAATGGAGTAAGAGAGATTAAATGTAAGAAGAGAAAGAGAGGTTCAACTTCACACCTTTGTGCCATATCTTATAGAAACCATAGTCTACCTACTAGGTTTCATATCTATAGTACTTCTGACTTGTTCATCTAATCTTGTGCTATTTTATTTCATTTTACTTTGTTTCTATTTATGGATTCCTATTGTATGCTTCAGGTTTGAACTCTGACAGTCTTCTGTCTAAATTAATGGCTCTAGTTTATAGCTCTAAGGTATCAGAATTGTTTCGAATGCAGCTACAGTAACCCGAACCAGGAGAGAAGGAAGAAGAAAAGAGAAAGAAAGAACAGGAGGGTTTAGTCAAAACTGATTCGTTCACTGTTCATTCGACCCCTTAATGTTTATTAAGTTCTAATAACCTTTACAAAGACTAAACTGCCCTTACTTAAGTGTGGGCAGAGTATMTCTAATAAAACTGCCACATAAGCAAGGTACTTAACAAACATGAGATGACTAAACTACCCCTATTCGGTTCACTTTAACAAGAATAAATATTCTTTTTTTTTCTTCTTTTCTTCTGGCTTCTAGTATTTGGAGCTTATTTCGTAGCTCTCTAATTTTGGAGCTTGATATTGTTTTAGCCATTCTTATTTGAATTCCATTCCCATAAATTACAGTTATTGCTCCTGGGTTCCATGCTTCATTCTTGGAAGCTATGGTCAGAATATTTACTGATTGCTCACAACGAACCATATCAAAGTTTGAGAAACTTTTTGAAAGAGAAAACTTGCCTGAAGAAATTGTGTTAGATCTTGAAGCAGAGTTTTCAAGTTTGGCACTTGATATTATTGGGCTTGGTGTGTTTAACTATGACTTCGGCTCTGTCACGAAAGAATCTCCTGTGATTAAGGTTTGGTTCAGTGAATTCTAAAACTTCCATTATGTTGTTATTTATAGTTTTTGCTTCATGTAAAAATGTTAACTTTTTAGGTCAATATTTTTGACTATCCTCTAGTTCATGTACTCAAATCAACTCAGGAAAGGCTCATTACAACCATATCTGGTTGGCTACACAAATTCTGTTTCACCATTTCACTCTATCTTATAGCTCCCTTTGCATGGAAGCCCTCTTGTTTTCACTTTGAATTTTGCATTGAAGTTAATGATATTGTCTAGAATAAATTTTTAATTTGCTTCTCCAAAATATACTGCAGGCAGTCTATGGTACTCTTTTTGAAGCTGAACACAGATCAACTTTTTATATTCCTTATTGGAAACTTCCCTTAGCTAGGTGGGTGGTTCCCAGGCAGCGAAAGTTCCAAAATGATCTTAAGGTTATTAATGACTGTCTTGATGGGCTTATAAGTAATGCTAAAAAGACCAGGGAGGTAAGAAGAAATTTGAGCTGAATGTTCAATGTATTTAACTTTCTCTAAGTCAATGGGAAACATCAATGTCTTTGCCATTGTTTATTTGTTGGAAGCACGTTGTCATTTCAGGATTTTCCTATTGGTGTATTCACATATAAAATTCATTTCATACAATCTATGGTAAATTTATTGGCAGGGGAATATAGATAAGGTGTATGAATGATCCTACATTGATAAATAATATAATTTTCAACATATTGCCTGTGTCAATATTATTGCCCCTAGACTTATTGCAGAAAGAAGACAGTGTCTGAGACTACAATATAACAAAATTTGACTTATTCAAATTACACTATGATGGTACACGCATTTGCTTGAGGTTTTTGAGAAATCCCTGATTTAATTGTAAACTGTGCATGGTTTCAGAATACAGACATAGCATTCTCAAAACAGATATAGCAATCCCTCATCATTAATAGAAAATTCCAAGAAAATGTTTTGGTTTGCACTTCAGTGACTTTGGTTCCTGGTTAGCAATAGCTTGAATAGAGGAGGGGGAATATTTTTGAAGTGTTGCTTAAAAGATGCTGTAGTTGGATTTTTCTTGGTGGAAACATTGGATTAGAGGAGGAATGGAATCAATTTAGGTGTATGATGTTACGAAGAGGGTTGAGGAACATGTAGGAGTTTCAAAAATCTTTTCTATTTTCCTGCTTGGTGTTTTTTCTTCCAAGGCAAACTTCAGTCAAGGAGTTAGGAGGTGAGCTTTTCTTGTTTATTTTCCAATCAAAGTTAGATACCGTTCAGTTCCTTGAGAGAGTTAGAAACTTGTAAATGTTCAATTTCCTTGATCTTCTGGTGGACCATTGTCTTCCTCTCATGTTGGCAGTGCTTTTGTCCCATGGACCTGGTGGTCGATAATGGAATGGTTCATGATGTCTGAAAGCATGCATGACACAGGGCCACTTTTTGTGGCTATTGACAATGGTCTTGGAGGTTTTGTTAGCATTTATCCTGAAGCCTTGAGGTGGTAATAGTCAATTCCATATATCTTCTGTTTAGTGGGGTAGGGAGACATCTAGCTGTTCTTCTATGCACATTGTGAAGCTGTAGGTTTGTAAGCAGATATTTATTTTGTGAATCATAGTTGAAGGAGAAGATACCATTCCCACTTCAAAGAATCACAATACCATGCGTCATGGTGGGCATGAAGCTATAAGGAGATCTATGAGATGAAGGGCGTGTTTGGATAGGAGTAAGCTTCATATTTCAGTTAGAGCAGAAGGGATGGATTCGGATGGGGAGGAGATTGTATGTAACAAGATCCTTTGGTATATTGATTGGTGTTTTCCTTCAGATGAGGAACAGATTGGTCATTGTATTGGTCCTAGAAACTGGTATTAGTGACCAGAATTTAAGAGGGTACATGATTAAGGAAGATCAGATGATGTGCTTATGCAGGTGAGACAAAGACTTGGTGGGTTTTACATGGCATTATTAAAATTGAAATTTTAATATTCTTAAAGGAAGGAGTTGATTTACTAGGGAAGAGAACAAGTTAATGTTACATGGTTTAACTGGGATAGGGCTGTCTTACAACTAATATTGTGGAGCCAAGGAACCTGGGGGAAATCTTTTCCCAATGGCCAACATGTGGAGGAAATGTTAAAGCAAAAATTGTTTGGACCTGTGTCCCTTTCGTCATTTGCTGGGAAATGTGGAAAGAAAGAAATAGAATAATCCTTGGCTGTATCTAAGAACATAAAGTTCACACTAATCTTGGGTTCTGTGCTATTCCATAACCATGTCATAATATGTGCATCTTCTTGTTCCAACTCATTGTACCCCTGAGAATCAATTAGGGGTTTTTCTTCTTTCACATGCTTCACCTTCTTCTTAGCTCTTAGAAAAACTTCAATAGATTTAGCCCAAGGCACATAATTCTCACCATTCAGTTTAGTAGAGGTCATCTACACATTCAAGTAATCGAGGGAAATCATAACACTAGACTTGTCTTCACTACTATTTCTAGCTGGCATGAAAAAAAAAAAAAACTCACTCACTAGTACGTCACACTACCTCACTTACTAGTCGCCACATTGCACGCTAATGGCTGATTATTGCTGAGAACATCTACTGTCACAGTTTTCAGCAATAACAGTCACTTCTGTTCTTCACTTTCAACACCACAAAACCACCCAAATACACATAGCACTAGGTCTGCAATCAATCAATACCTGTTTCACACTGTAACACCCATGCAGCCCACCTATTGAACCACACAAATCAGACTTTCACTCGTCTGTTCACTGCACTTCCTGAAACAGATCCATCAATTAGAGGGTTTTCTATCAACCACCTGAAACGACCACTGCACCACCAACGAGAGGCATGAGAACCTTTAGAAGAAAACAATCACTCCTTTTCATCCATTCTGCTAATCTCCAAGTGATCAATGAGAAATCTGCAAAAACCTAGGGTAAAGGGTGATAAAAAATCTTGGTAGATTAGATACCATGAACAAATTCAGATCTATACTGGCTTTAGTTCTAAAATAGCAGAGGAAAAAGAAAGAAGAGAGAAAGAAGAGAAGAGAAGAGAAGAAGAAGTAAAAGAGAAAGGCTGGTTTGAATTAGAGAAGATATCTCTCTCTAGTCGGCTAGATAATATTTATAGGTTTCTAATTAAAACATAAAGATAGTTGCGCCCTTACTTTAGTGTGTGACACAACACTTAAACCAGGATATAACAGATATTGCATCACACTCTTAACATAAAACAAAATGACCAAACTACCCCTCTACAGTTGACTCTAATAATGTCCAACTTCCACCTTTAATGAATCCTAATAGAGGATTCATGCAATCCCACTATTAGCAAAGTTAAATAGCAGTCGTAGGAGTAGGAAGCTGTACAGTGCATTCTCTCTGTCCTAACATGGTGGTAGATCCTATAACATTGATCGTCTGTTGACATCCCATTCTTGAAAATCCCTACATATCTAGGTATTTGACAATAACAGGATCTCACTGGTTTGCATATCAAAGGTAGACGTGTCTGATACTCAGCTTAATACCAATATCAACTCTAGGAACACATTGCGTTTGGTCCAGTTCAATATTTATTGCAATCACTCACTCTTATACCTTAGGTCACAACCTGAGCAGCTGATACTCACTACTCCACTACCTTGAGCAGTGTGAGAATGACAACCTTGTTCGAATAAACTCCCCAAGCCTATCCATTGGTTCTGAACATTCAAGTCCATATTGTAATAACCATGTGGCTTCATACATGATATTACTATGTACTACGAAGTGATTCAGTAAACAAACCCATTTCAAATGAATAAATGAACTTTTATTCATAATAATCGTGTGTACAATACATCAGTTGAAGTTGAGGGCATACACACTTTATCCCTAACTGGCAATGGTAGAGAAAGATCCATCTGTCAATCTCACTTTATCCCTACTGAAAAGGAGAGTAAAGGCTGAAAACAAACTTGTACTAGTCATATGGTTAGAGGCCCATGAGTCAATAATCCAAGGGGAATCAGGAACTTGGGTAGACACATAAATGCAAAAGCACAGTTACCTGATGTAGACACAAATGAAGTAGAAGGTGTAGGAATAGAGTTATCCATCTGTTGGAGGGTCCTACCATAAAGCTCTAGGTGATCAGAGAAGGAATTGATAATGTCCTCCTTAAGACCAACCAAAAATAGCAGTCGAGCTGTTATTTTGAGACTCTTGAGTGGCCAGATTTGCAGAATTATACTTATTTGGGGTAGGTATATTAGAACCTTGATTCTTGACAGCCCACTCGGGCTTCCCAAGCTGCCAACAAGTCTCCTGGGTATGTCTGGACCTTTGGCAATGTGTGCACCACAATTTACTTTTTTTTGAAAAAGGTAAGGTAAATATTATTCACAGAGAACCAGATTACAGAATATAACCGGCCTGTCAACCAACATAACTGGGGCCCAAAACCAAGAATACATTACAAGATATGACCAGAAATCAGCTGGGCCCCAAGACCTGGTTGGACCCCTTTCACAGCAGCTGTCCAGGAGACTAACTTCCCGAAAATAAAGGAAATTAGTTGATCCACTTCACTATGCTTGTTCTTGAAGATTCTGCTGTTTCTTTTGGCCCAAATGGTACTGATTACTGCAGCAGGGATGGAGGACCATGCACTTTTTGCTACCTCGGACAGTCCTCTTTGTTCCCAACACCACAATAGATCACACAGTTGCTGCCATAGCCCAGTGGAGATGCCAGAGGAACAAGAAGTGGTTCCAGATTGTAGTGGAAACAGAGCAGTGCAGAAATAGGTGGTTACTATCTATTCCACTTGATTACAGAACACACAGAACAGGTCCTGGAGCAGGATTCCTCTTCTCACCAGATTCTTTTTGATGAGACACTTGTTCATTGCCATGTCCCAGAGCAAAGCACTTATCTTTGAAGGGACAACCTGACACCAGACTTTTTCAGCTGGAAACTCAGCTTGAAGACCACTTGCAAGGTTTCTGGCAAAGGAGTTAACAAAGAATATACCATCATTACACCAATTCCAGTTCCAGGTGCCATCTTCCAGCAAGTGCAGGTTCTGGTTGGACAACAATTCCAGCAGATTAGAAACAAGGTCCAGCTCCCAATCTTGAAAATTTCTTCTGAAAGGACACCAAACCTGGATGTGGTCTCGGACCTCACAGCAGTCAGCCACCAAAATATCTTGATGTTCTGCAATCTGGTACAACTAAGGAAATAACTCTGCTAAAGATCTACTATTGCTCCAAATATCCTTCCAGAATTTTACCCTTTGTCCATTTCCCAGCTTAACCGAAAGACCCCTATTTATCAGAGGGAAGACTTCCATGATTACCTTCCAGATGGAGCACGCCAGAGAGGTCATAGAAGCAGTTGTCACCCAATCCCCATAGTCTGTGTTGTATTTGGCTGCAACCATACTTCTCCACCAACTATCTCTTTCTTTACAAAATCTCCATATTCATTTACCCAGAAGAGCCTTATTAAAGACTTTCATTCTCTTGACCCGGAGACCACCTTTTCTTTTAGGGGCACAAACCTGATCCCAGCTAACCAAGTGAATCTTCTTCTCCTCTTCCCACCCTTTCCAAAGGAAATCTCTCAACAGATTTTCCACTTTCTGGGCCACTTTCCTCGGCATTGGGAAAAGAGACAGGAAGTAGGATGGCAGATTTGATAATGTACCACAATTTATCCTTATCACCATTTTTCTTAGTCACTATTCTTCCCTCCATATTTGCCTCCCTTTGTAGCTAAATCACTCGGCTGTTCCCCCTCAGAAGAAGTCACCAAGTTCTGCTCTTTTCTAATTGAATCAATGCGTACACCTCTTGAATTGAGGGAAGTTCACTACTTCCCAAAATTTGAACAAGGAGAGACTCATTGATGGGGTTCAACCCCAATAGAAAAGCAAAGACGCACTGTTGGTATACAAGCTTCTTATAAGCTTTGGCATCATCATCACTCTTCTATTCTATATTCTAATAGTGGTCCAGCTCCTTCCAAACCAACGTAAGAATTGAATAATAAGTATAAAGACTATGGTCACCCAGTTTGCAAGTAGAGGACTTTGCCTGTAGTTGGTAGATTTTTGCATAGTGTCTTTGTTCAAAGTAAGTTACCTTAACTTGTTCCCAAATTTCACATGCAGTGTGTTAGAATGTTAGAGTGATGTTCGGCTGATAAGAGTTCTTATTAGCCCAKWSTTATGTTTAACTTATCTTGTAACTGGGCTTGTGTTAATGGGCCTAATCCTGTTTAATGATTTAAGTTATCTGGGTGTCCCATCACTAATCAGGGGCATCCCAGTAATTTCTTGTACCTTGTACTATATTCATCTATAAATAAAGGACTGGTCGATTGGCTAGTACAGTTCGACATTCTCTTCAGTTCTGTGGTTCTCTTCTCTTCTTTGCTACTTCGAGTATAGCTCTTCAGATTACATTGTCCACCCAGAAGTTCTTTCATACATGAGGCAGCATGGAACCCAACAACAAAGACATACTGTACTGTTTTCTTGGTTCCATTTTTCATGTTTTGTAGACCCAGATTTGGGCCCCTTGACTTTCCGTTGATGTAACCAGCTTTTCCCCAGCTGTGACATCCAATTTGATACCTTTGGAACACTCTAATTAGTTTAACCCATCTAAGGGAGTAATCACCATAGGAAAGTGCATGCTGTCCATCCCTACATTCAGGTTTCCTTGGGAAGAAGTAATACCAGAAGATGCTGAATCTCCAGTGGCCATTTTTAAAGGAACTACAACCACCACAAACACTAGACAAGCTGTAACAGAGGAAAAACCTCACCAGAAAACTGTAACAGTACACGAAGAAGGGAAGATAGCAGATTTCCAAGCAGAAAATCACCAAACTAATTCCATACAAATAGTCTTCAGAATATCTGTTAGTAACAGAGGTCCAAAAACCCTAGCCGAACTGAAATCTTCTTACTTCATAAAACAGACATACCGTCCAAGGTTCAAAGTATGGATGTTTATCTTTGTTTTCCCCTTTTCTTACCTCTAGGTAGAAACAGTGATATGTTCTTTTCTTCCTGATTTCTTATCCTATGAATCTGTGGCAGGAAACAGATGTTGAAAAGCTGCAACAAAGAGATTACTTAAATCTGAAGGTTAGTATTATTTTTCTTCCTGATTTCTTATCCTATGCTCTTTGTTCTTCTTTTTGACCTTATTTTTGGGTAGTGCAGGATGCAAGCCTTTTGCGTTTTCTAGTTGATATGCGGGGAGCTGATGTTGATGATCGTCAGGTAAACATATATTCTCCAATATTCCAAGATGGTAATATTTTAAGCATTGAGTACTTGTTTCAGGTTAGGGGCCTTGCTTGGTGCCATGGTAAAATCTCCTGCTGATAAGCATGGGAATATGGGTTAATGTCTGAGAGTGGCTACTTCATGCTAAAAGTGCTGAAGGTTTGGTCTGTATCCAGTCCAACCATCAAAGACCCCAGATATCTTTGATCAACCTTATCATTGGTACAGAGGGATCTGTGATCCACCGTATTCCATCCCATAAACTATAAAGGAATGATATTGGATTGATGAGTAGAATTTTTTTTTTCTATTTTTTTTCGATTTTAAAGTATCTTCTCTTGGAACTTGTCCAATGTTGTGTGGAGACTGCTTTCTATACATATGCAAGAAATGGCCTTGGAGGATCTGGTAGAGAATTGATTTCTACAGGTCCTGAATCAAGTGTCTTATAATAATTTCTGAATTATTCCAGAGTATAACTATAATTTCATTTATTGCATGCTTGTATTCTGTCATGATCTCTTAGGTTGACGTCTTTACAGCTCAGGGATGACCTGATGACTATGCTTATTGCTGGACATGAAACAACTGCTGCAGTTCTTACATGGGCTGTTTTTCTCCTCGCTCAAGTATGTTTCTATATGCCTTCTAATGACAAGCCTCCATCTCCAGAATGAGGTCCTACAAATTCATATTGCCTTTTGTTCATTCTAAATGTATACTGAATCACTTCAATGCAGAATCCATCCAAAATGAAGAAAGCTCAAGAGGAAATTGATTCTGTACTTGGTCAGAGGACAATAACTTTTGAATGTCTAAAGAAACTGGAGTAGGTCACTAAAACTTTAGTTTCTATGAAATTCTGTTGCAAACCAGTTGTGTTTCAAAATGGCTTGTCTGCACTACCTAACACACACACACACAAAAAGACTTCTTTTGTGAACGAGAGGATGGGAACCAAATATAGGAGTTAAAGTTCTGTTAAATATATGGTATGTTGTGAGACCTTATTTAGACATGTGCAAGCACCTGTGAATTTATAATTGTTCAAAATACTCATAGTTATTGATCAAAAATACCCTTTGATGTTAGATTGCAATCATTCTAATAACTAAAAATCATGGTTGAAAGAGATTTTATAAGTAATTGCCATTGATGAATTTTATTTATTTATTTATTTATTTACATGTAGATATCACATATTTCCCTTAAATCTTTCACTTGAATCAGTGGTAAGTTATGGTCTGTATTGGGTGCTACTAGGCATTGCATGATAGGCAATGTGTAGTGCTTTAAATCTGGATTGGGTGAGCCATTTTGTCTGTTCTGTATTATTTTTTTCTGCACTCTTGCTATATTTTTCTTGAAAATTTTAATAAAATATTTTCTGATCTGTTAACGATAAAAATGGTGTTTGGTGAGAACTTGATGATGCTATCCTCCTAAAGAGTATTGTGGGCAAAGAGAGTTATCATGACAACCAATCCAGGCTAGATCACGTTGCATTTATTTTATTTTTAATTATGTGATTCAAAAGTTTTATAAGGGTATTTTTGTTTTCTCACATGCTTGCAAATTCCAACAAATCTATAATTTACCCAAAATAATTTTAAATAGTTTATAATTTAAAATTAAATTTTAGTGACCTTTTATCAATAAGGTTTCTTTAAACATGTCTTTTGTTTTAAGCTAATGACTTTTCATTTCAAAATTGGCAACTATTCATTTGTAATTTCTTTCTTATAAAGTGTCTTTTGATTTTAAGTTTGGTAACCTTTCATAGGTGCCTTTTCTTTATTTGGTGTCTATTATCACAAGATGCCATTGGATCTATCTTTCTAAGTTCTAACACAGAGAAAAATTATTCTTCTCTCCTAATTCTTTCTCTACAATTGTCTTCGTTATCTTTCTTCATTCTCATGCATTACATCAATCAAGACGGAAGATTGTTGCGGTTTGTATGATCTAGTATTTCTGAGTGCACGATTACTAGGAGCCACCAGGGCTGTTGAATCCTGGAGCAAGATGCTTACAATACCTGTATGCACTGGACTTGATCCAGAGGAGGTGGAATTCTACCTAAGGACAATGTCCTAGGCATGCCTTAACTGATAAGTCCAATTTTCTCCTTCTTTCTTTTACTTCTCTAACCTTGCTGATTTTTATTGATCTTCTACTCTGTTTTGTACAATTAAGTTATTCTCTCAAATTTCACATTTTCACTTGATTTCTTATAACTAAATTATTCTTTCTTAAATTTTACATTTCTATCCTCACTTTGTTATTAGTAGTACCCATATACACTTTTTACAGATTAACCTCTACTAGGATTGGGAGATGTCAAGATCTGTTAATGAGAACACTATCACCAAATTTAATAAGCATAGGCTGATAGGCATATTATTCTCATCAGTAAACTCCAACATTCTTATATTTTTGACAAGATTAAAACACCATATTCTTCTGTGTTTGCTTTTCATAATTTTCATATTATTTTTCTTTGAGCTTCCATACTACCATTGGATTGCTCCTTGCCTTGGCCTTTTCTGTTTCTTTTCTTCTTTCTTTCTCCATGAATTAGATAGCTTTGTTCATAAACTAAGATGCATAATTTCTACACTTTGGGATGTTATATTTTTATTAAGAACTCCTTGCTCTAAATGTTGTAAATTCTGACTCTGCTTGCAGGTACATACGGCTTATTATTGTGGAGGCTCTTCGTCTATATCCTCAGCCTCCACTACTTATCAGACGTTCTCTTGTACCGGATGTACTTCCAGGTATTTCTTCTCACTGACATGAATATGGAGTATTTTGATTTATTTTGAAGGAAAGTTTTTAATTTAATAGCTAAGTAAAGATTTAGGTTGAAGTAAGTTGAAGAACTATTTATCAAAAAAATAAAAAGAAAAAGAAAAAGAAAAAGAAATAAGTTGAAGAACATTCTCCTATCTTGCTTTTCCTTTCTCATTGATAGTTTTTTTCTGGATGGTTATTTACTTTTCTTTCCATTAGGTGGCTTGGCCTGAAGTTTATTTGAACTTGTGAGGACTATCAGATTTATAATCTTATCCATCCTTATTCATGTTCATAAGAGTTTGGCATGAGTTTTAATGCCAGCTGCCAACCTGACACAACCCTCATCCTGTGTGGGGCTTGGCACTGTTAGTGCAAGACAAAACCACACTGGCAGAGTTCTACTCCATCCATATCCAAGTAAAACCATCAAAATAAGAATGACAACACTTCTAGTGGAGGAAGTCATGAAGGGAAAATTTTGATAGATCAAAAATGGGGAGAAAAGAGTGCATCAACATCATATTAGGTGTTGTAGGACTTAATAGTATGGGCTTGTGCCTATTATATTTATGTTATGTATTTGTTTTTTATTACTGGGTGTAATGGGGCTTGGGCTTATTATTTCTTGTGTTTTATGTCTGTATCTTGGTGTCACCTAAGCAGGGGCATGCTTGTCAATCCTTGTATTTATGCAGTGTTCTCATTTAAATAACAACAAGGGACCGGAGAGGAATAAGTTTCCGCCCCCTTTTCTCAAATTTCCTCTTATCTTCTCTTCTCCCTTCTTTTCTCTAATCTAGGGCTAAGAATCTTCATGGCATTGGAATAATAAATCCGCCCTAGATCCTGCTCAGTTTTTTCTCTTTTCTTCTATTTAGGTTGTTCCTTTCTTTTTTCCTCTTGAAGGCCCTAATTCTAGTCTCATCTTTTTAGGGTTTCAAGTATGACTACTAGAGAGACCTGGTGATGCAGGTATAGATGCTGGACTGTCAAACACAGCAGACCCAGAAGTTTTCTGGGTTATTGACAGTAGAATAGTATGGTTAAAGTAGGAGTTACAACTCTTAAGTGTTTGATCAGTGATGCAGCCCAAGCTCTTTTTTATTTACTCTTGTTGGTGTTTGGGTTGTGGTTTCCCAACATATAATCCAAAAGTCAAGTGAGGGTTTCTTCAACATGGAGAATCCTAATTAACCTAGTTTTCAAGTTACCGATGTGAAGTTGGATGAATACAATTTCGAGGAATTGTCTTTTTCTGCAAATCTTCATATCACAACTTCTGTATTGTTGGGGTATATCAATGATCAGATTAAGGAACCAAAGATGTAGGAAGACTCATATGGAAAGTGTAGGGAAAATGCTACTTTCATGTCTTGATTGTCCTCCATGACACCTAAGATTGCTAGGACAGTCCAATATTATCCAACTGCTCACAAGATATGGGAAAAATTGTCCAACACTTATGGACAGAGGAAAAACAATGCAAGGGTGTACAAGTTAACCCAAGACATTGCAGCAATGATTAGACAAAACACAAACCAGATCTGCACAAGGAGTTGTGCAGTGCCCAATCAAAAGTTGTGCATCTCCTAAATTGTATACCCTGTGTGCATAGATTCAAAAAGAGCTTGAGAATTACCAAAAGGGCTATATGGTCTATTCCTGAATTGTTTATGTGCATAGATACATTGCAGCATTGATTCAAGGGAATCTGTCTATTGTGACTTATTTTTCCACACTTGAGGGACCGTGGGAGGAGTTTGACCACCCTCTTATTGTTGATTGGAAAGATTCAGAGGATAAAGAGATGTATTTAAAACAAGTTGAAGAAGGAAGGGTGTTCAAGTTTCTTGCTAGACTTGATTCTTTGTATGAAAGCATTAGATCTTAGATTTTAGGGAGGGAGAAACTACTTAACCTGCAACATATTTTCTATTTGATTAGAAATGAAGAGATTAGGAGGAATGAAATGAAGATGGATGTTTCTACACAACAGGTGGAACATTCATCTCTTGCTTCGGCCACCCAAAAGGGGGGGTGATGTTGCCAAATTTGGAGCCGAGGGTAGCCAAGTAATTTCCGAGGTCCGAAGGCTGATGTCCCACCTATCAATAGTCAAAAGACGTCTGAGGCCCAGGAATGTTCCCAGGGGCGGGGACTCTGACAGTCAAGTTAGCCGAGGGCTCAAGGAGAATATTGATCACCACAAGGGTGCAAGTGATAGCTTCAGTAAGTGTGTGTACCTCTGGTTGCAGTGTCCCTTTTATAGTAGGAGTTGCCTGGTAGGCGAGTAATGCACAACATGTAACCGTTCTGTGTATCGTTGTCACGTAAGGGGATACGAAGGGGCATAGGCCGGTCACGATCCCATGCTACTGGCCCAGGAGTAAGTGCACCTAGGATGTGCACCCACATTAAGTGCTCGATGAACCATTAAGGGCGGAAATTACCTGAGTGCCCTTAATGAATAGTTGCTAGTTGGTAATACCCCTGTCCAATGCCATGTGTCAGGATCTGGCGAGCCGACCAAATATACCCATATCACTTGCCCCTCATTTTCGAGGCTGAGGCCGAGGGTACCAAGTGATTCATGCTGACTCGCGGGCTTTAATGTTTGTGAGTCTTGCAGAGCTTTAATGTTCACGAGTTGCGATCAGAACTGATGGTCGTGATTGTAGCTGAGTCACCGTGTCTCGTACGAGTGTTCTTTCTTTGACTTTGACAACCGTGTCTGGGACGAACATCGGATTGAGTGATTGAAAATCATATTCGAGATGAGCCTGGCTTCTATTGCTTAGAGACAGTGTACGGGGCAGGTGTTCGAATTGTCGCGCCGGTTTGGCGTATGCTGAGCTGGGGAGTTGATGGACGAATCGGCTTCGGGCCTCAACGCCGTTTCATCTTTTGAGGTCGAGCCATGTGGAGGTTGTTGGCGTTGGCTGGCGAGGCGATTCACTTGTGGCTATCGGATGGAGTGAATCTCTACGGTTCATTTTCCTTTAAAAGGAGGGGGAAGATGGGGAAGGTTCTCTTATATTCCACAATGCGCTCGCTTGAAGTCTCCCTAGACCACCTCGGCTCCCATTAGGCTATTTTCTAGTCCTTTATCCAACCAGTTGTCACTTCGTTATGGCCCCATCTTCCACAATGTCGACTTCTGATTCTGGCCGTGAGGCCTATTCTCTTCCCGATTGGAGTGATCCGAGTAGGTCCTCTACTTCAAGTAGTAGTGGGAGTGATAGTAGCAGCTCCGAGGGCACCACTCGAGCATCTAGTGTGGAGGTCCTCCAGGAGAGGGTCATGTCTCATAGGGCTGAGTGCGACCAACAATGCTTTGGCTCCAATGATGAGAGAACTGGGTCAATGAGGCTGAGGGGCTGTGTCCTTCAGCATTGCTTTGTGGTTTCTCATAGAGAAGATGCCCCAAGGAACGTGGTGGCACTTTCAGAGATCGTGGAGGCCAAAGAGATGGGAGGGCTAATGGTAGAGGGGGAGGCCGAGGCCGACGTCCGAGGTGTTAGGTTGGAGCATTAACCTTGCTCTAACTTAGACAATATTCTCGGTAGGGAACAGATTAGGGCTCTTTCCGAGAAGTATTTCATTTCGGGGGACTATAGGATTAGAGTCCCCTGTGTTGGTGATTGGCCGTGGTGCTGCCCTGAGGGTGAGGTGTGTGTCCATGAGCATTACCATCACTTTGGGCTGCGTTTTCCCTTGCATCCTTTGATCTTTGAGTTATTGAACCACTACAAGCTGACCCTTAGCCAACTTGCTCCCAACGATGTTAGGACGATTGTGGCTGTCTTGGTGATGGCTCATCTCCGAGGGGTATCCATAATAGTGGACATATTTTGGGCCCTATTTGCTTTAAGGAAGCATCCCGATGGCTTAGGGCTATGGTATTTCCAAGGTTGATGGGGAAAAGTAGTGGACAACCCATCGACCATTCATAATTGGAAGAAGAAATTCTTTTTTACCAGTTGTCCTGAGGGTTGGTCCTTCCAAACCTCCTAGGGGCACCTAGATACGTTGGCCGAGAGGATCGCGCCACATAGCAGTGAGTTCAGCAAGCGTTCAAGGGAGTGTAATTGTCGAAGGATGGGGTCGACGACCTTCTCCTTATTCTTATTGCTTGGGCCATCGGCCGGCCTGTCTCTATCCTTCCTCTTCTTTTCATTGGGATCCGTTTCTGAGTTCTCGAGGTGTTTATTGGCCTCGGCCTCGTTAGCTACTCTTGTACTTTTGTACCTTTTTCAGGAACACCTTGTTTTTGGGCGGGGTTTTGGAGATGGACCAGCTGAGGGGTCCTAGACGAAGGCCATTGATGGCGGCAGTCATAGATACCGAGGGGTCCAGGTCCTTAACTTCGAGTTCTTCCTGATTGAATCTTCTCATATAATCTCGAAGGCTTTCCCCGTGTTTCTGCTTAATGGACATCATGGAAATGACAGTCTTCTGGCATTGTTGGCTGCTCATGAAGTGCCCCAGAAAGAGATCTGCAAACTAATCCTAGGAGCTGATGGACAAAGGTGGAAGTGTTGAGAACGATCTGCCAGCTGCTCCCTTGAAAGTGGTCCGGAAGGCCCTGCACATCAGCACGTTGGAGTAGCCGTTGAGGAGCATTAGGGCACGGAAACTCTCCAAATAGTCCTCTGGGTCTGTGCTCCCGTCATAAGTTTTGAGAGTAGGTGCTTTGAAGTTTGGTGGGAGGGGCTCCAAGGTGGAGTTGACAAAGGCCTCCGCCCGAGTCGACGAGGCTGGTTGAATGGTGGACGCATCACCTCGGCCTTCTTTGACCTGCCTAAGCTCATCTTGCATGGCGCCTATCTGCGCCTACAAGTCCCCGCAACGTTGGTCAATCTAAGGGAGGGGGACTTTTGCTGGGTCCTGGGGCTCTCTTACTCGGGACCCTTGTAACCTACTTAATAACATTTACTAAAAGACAGAGTTACAAGTCATTTAGTTCACTCATTTCAGCCTA